TTCGTTTGCGAGGTATATTACTACCTGTTGAATCACTCTCAAGTGACTTATTACCTTTTTTAAATGACCTGACTAAATCATTTAAGGTAATAAGATTAGGTAAGAATGCTTGATCAAAATACTTTACAAATGTACTGTAATCATCTTCCAGGATTGTAGCAATTTCAGAGCAACTTTTTTCTTGTGAAGAGTACTTGTTACCTCATCTGATAACTCATAGTCATTAGCATTGGGAAGCCAGTTATTCTGCATTAAGAAGGTTGCATCCCATACTTTTGTATCAGACTGTAGTTGCCTAGTGGCCTTCAGGACAAGAACTTGTATTTTTGCCAGGTGGTTTTCATACCTGTTGGCACAATATCTGGATTTGGGGTTGCGGTTTAGGTTGTTGTGTAATTTTTCAGGCTGTATGACTTCAGGTGTTCCGCTTTGGGGCATTTTTTACCCTCCTTTTTGCTTCATCAATGGTTTCAAAACATTCTACCATTCTTTGCCTTTTCCTGGTTGCAAAATATGTTCATTGAGCCAGGTGAAGGTTGACATAATTTTTTTTTTAGGAATTTTCTATACTTTTTTTTTTTTTAATTTTCTCTCTTCTTTAGGGGTTTTCTGAAGGGGAAGAGGCTAGACAGAAGTTATTAAAGAAGAGAAGGATACATCACAGCTGGCTAGAAAAGAAAGATCTTGCATACTACAAAACTACAGGGTTTTGGTGGGTGCTGTTCTTGGAACACCAAGGTGTTTACTGTTTTCTTTGTCGAAAACACAAGACCCTCGATACCCAGAACAATGCTGCAGTATTTAGCAGCAGCCCAGGTACAAGGTACCAGACAGAAGTGTTACAGGAGCATGCAGTGACAAACATGCACAAAGCTGCTATCGAGGCTGAGATGAACCAGAGGGTGTCTGTCTTTCAATGACAATATGAAGAAAAGCAGGCTGTTTGCAAGTGTTCTTTTCAGTGCCTTTGCTGTCTTGTACTGGCTGGCCAAAGAGGCAGTGGCCAAAACCAAGTTCTTTTCATTGTTGACTCTGTTTTGTGTTGTGGGTGTGGATAAGATGCAACACTTTAACCACAAGTCCCATGGTGCCATGGGAGAAATGTCCCGGCACATTGGGACTGAATTGAAGAATTCCACTGTACAACAAGTAAAGTAATCAGGGTTCTTTGGGCTGCTGATTGATGAGGTGTCAGATATTGCTGTCGCTGAGGAGTTAATTACCTTTGAGCAGTTTTGGAACGCAAGTTCTGGTAGTGTAGAAATCACGTTTCTGAGAGCAAATGATATGCTAGCAGAATCTGATTCTGCGAATCCAATTGTCTCGCGGCAGAACTAAATGATTGTGAATTTTCAGTGGATCATTTAGTTGCTCTTTGCACTGAAGAGTGTCAGTGATGGCTGGAAAAAAACAGTGGGGTTGCAGCGAGGCTGAAAGACCTGAACAGGCATGGTGTCAGCATCCACAGCATCTGTCACAAGCTGTTACTTCCTTGTTAGAACACAAATGAGGGCCTTGCCTATATTCAAGAGGTGGAGGGGTGGCACCTTCAGGTGTGGAACTTCTTTGACAATTCTCTTAAACACATTGCAGCATATCTGAAGGTTCAGATGTCAGTTAAACAGCTGCAGGAGCCTTCCAAAGAGGCAAAGGAAAAATGCATGTGGAGATTTGCCAAAGCTACATGAGGGAGTGCATAGAGATTATATACCCCCTGATGCTTACTCTGAAGCATTTTGAGGAACAGGCTGCACAGGCATCAGGCTTCCTAGGAAAGATGCATAATGCTAAATTCATTGGTGTGGTCACAATCATGAATCACGTACTCCCTATCTTTAACAGACTGAGCTGTACATTCCAGAGAGGAAAGGTTTCTTTTGCACACATTCAACCAGCACTTGAGAAGTGTATCAATGACCGGAACAAGATATTGCAGACAGAAAATCTTATTGCTGAGTTTCAAAGTGATCTTTCTCAAAATGGCAGACTGAGAAGAGCTGAGCTTGCTCTCTCTGACAGAAATGAGCAGTTTCGCAGAAATTTCCCGATTAAGTATGTTGGTTCACTGAAAGAGAGCATTGAGAGTAGATTAGCCACCTTTCCACTTCTTTCTGCGTTCAACACATTTAATCCAGCACTTGTTCCTGAAAGGGAAGACCCAGGATTTCTTGAGTATGACAATGCGAATGGGAAGCTTTTGGCCCAGCAGTACTTTGACACAGAAAGTGACAGAAAGCAGTTTTTAGGCGAGCGGCAAGTTCTGAAGTACGACCTGGTCAAATGGAAAAAAGAGTTGCCAGACAAAGTTAAAGGGCCCCCAGCTAGAAAAGACTCCACTGTGATACCAACTGACTGGTGCCTCAAGAAGTTGCTGCAGTTAAAAGATTTGTTACCATTCAATCTTCCCCAGGTTGCCAAAGTGGCAAATGTAGTGGTCTCCCTTCCAGTGTGAAATGCATGATTTGAGAGAGGAGCAAGTGCCTTAAAGCTTCTCAAAACCAGACTTTGCATTAGAATGCAGAATGACATAGTTGACACCCTTCTATGCATTTTGATCAATAGGCCAGCAGTAAAGAGCAAGGAATTTGAAGATCTAGTTAATTTGGTTGTTTTATCTTGGTCGGCAGCTAAACCCTGTGGCAAGTGCCCTCCAAAGATTATTAACACAGCACCACCACCTTTGGCTGGTCCAGGATCTGCATGTGAAGATGTTCCTGTGGTAATTGTACACGATGTTGGTGCACAGGCAACTGATGATGATGCCCAGTTACTCCATTCTATTGAGGAAGAAGTAGAGGAAACCTCCAAAGCCTTGGAGCTATCAGATTTGGATGCAAAAGAGTCTGATTATGACTCTGACTGAATTTTCTTAAACTTCAAGAAAGTTGTCACTTTCTCTTTTGACAACTTTATAAATTTGGGTTAACTTGTAACTGTACAAAGAAAGGAGGCTCTAAAAAACAACAGTATTGTTTTGATGTAGCTATAGCTGTGTATTAAAATAATCAGATTGTCCCAGAGTACCATTCTTTATTACTAAAACTAGATAGAGTAAGCGTCATTGCAAGAAAATTTCTTTTCCAGGAAAATGCACACCTGGGAGATGTAAGTTTTAAAAAACCTGGGAAGCATGCCCCTGGACCCCCCTAGAGGTTTGGGCCATAATTTGGCCCTCAATTTTATTAGGGTACCTGCCTACTCACAAGGCAGTGCCCTTCTACTTCAAAGGTCAATGAAAACCCTGAATATGTAAAAATCTCTGCAGTTCACCCACTAAATTTACATGTGTTCAATTTATGATCAAAGCTCAAAGATCAGATATTGCTTAATGTGGCAATGTTAACATTAAATCTTCTCAAAAACAAAAATTTCAGACAAGAGGAATGTACATGGCATCTGGCTGTCTTCTTGTAAAAGAAATTGATCAGCTTTGATGAAGGACTACTCGATATACCTACAAACATAACTCAATAAGTCAAAGGGTGCTGATATCATCCAGAGTGTGTTTGACATATCTTCCTTCATGAGAATTTCGGGAATCCTAAATCCTTTGACAGATCACTTTTGCTTGCAAAACCAACAATTTATTTTTCACTGGACCATAAGTGGAATCAGGAGAAAGTGAAACCTTCTGATTCTCACAAGAGCCTATGACTTTGCTTACAACCCCAATTCTAACTCCATTGCCAGTGGAAATTAGCCCTCATAAAAGTGATTACCCTGTGTTCTGAGAAAAAAAAATTTGGAGAAAACTTTTTTTTCCTGCATCAGCCTCAGTCCTTATGGAAAGAAACTGTGACCACAAAACTTGAACATGCTACCATTCCCCTCAGAAGAAAACATACCTATGTTTTCGTTTGATATTATTGAGGAGACCAACAGTATGTTGTCGAAACTTCACAGTCGACATCCCAAGTAACTATATCATGAGACAAATGAATAAGACACTTTGAAAGTGTATTCACCACTGACAAACCATTACCTATTTTATGATGTAAACCTCTTATTGTAAGCATCTTGTCCTATATTTTTTTGATTGGATAGTTTTATTTTTAACTGAATGTAAATGTAATACACACTGTATGTTAAATAAATGAAGAATTGAATTTTAACTTAGAACAATTAATTTCAGAGAGCCTTGCAGTAATCCAAACTGAACTGGAACAACTGAGACAATTGGTAATTGATGAGAAGACACTGTGTGAGTCAAGTGGACTAACCACCATCAAAGGTCACTTCAGAATATAAAGTTATCTCAGGCCATATGCAATATCTCTTACAAGGAAGTGGGAGTAAAATTAATAGGCAAACTTGGATTTGTGGGGTTGCAGCAACAATGGTATTTGTCATAAAGTAGTCTTTAGAGAGGAGAGTAGCATCCTGCAAGCACCTAATACATGCTTGCCACAGATTAGGGGAAAATAGTTCATCAAGGTCAGGGAAAGTTGGGAATTTCACTCTGATTAAGGGGAAAGTTTAGTTTAGTTTCGTTTATTAGCTTTGCCAACTGGCAGGGACACCGCAACAGCTTGTGCCAATTACTGCGGGCCCAGTAAACCCACCCATCCCACCCCAGGGGAGGACATCCATCAGACAGTAATCTCGTGCGTGGGAAATTAACGACGGTCTCCTACCCCCAACCCTGCAGGAGATGGGACCTCCATTTATTCGTCCCTATCCGAGAAGACTAGAATATCTAATCATTTCTTGATGTTATAGAGAGGCAGCAAATTCTTCTCAAATATTTAAGTCCTGGAGTGTTGGTCCGGCCAGGGCACGAACCCTCGACCTCGCGCACAACAGTCCAGCACACTATCCATTGGGCTAACTGGGCGGCGGTTAAGAAATTTACACCTTTGAGATAAGTCGGTGAAAATTGACTTCTTTGCCATGATAACATCCTATTAACCTACACTTTACTTTTTCCCTCTTGTACGTTTTTTATTTCCTTTTTATCCCAGAATAATTGTAATTAAATTTAAGAAAAAATGCTAGTTTAAATTATTTATTTCCTTTGATTGTGTCACTTTGAATTGTTGTTATGACTTAATAGTAAATGATAGACGGAAAAATTCAGACAAGAAATTTTGATCTTTAGGGAAAGATAAGCAGGTCAAACTAATCCTTGAAAGTATCGATGGATTGAGGAAGGACTTGAAAGATACACATAAGACAGGTAGGTGAGTTAAATTGAAGGGGAAAAGCTTAGATACTGTGGGGTCCTTGCCTTTATGATACGCATTTGAATTTGAGTTTCATAGGCAAATGTATTGAAATAAAAGATATCTTATACAGGGTTCGACACCTGGCTACCTGCATTGCTAGCCACCGGGCTAGTGATATCTAGAATTTACTGTTTCGAAACACAATTTGGTAGCCCGGATCAGTTTCCCTCGAGGACTACTTCAACCCCAAACACGCAAACCTTCCTCTAAACTTATTGGCAAGGTCTTCTAAAATGATAAAGAATGGTACAAACGCAATTGCGAGTATAGGGGGCCCAGACAAGCGACGAGTCTGGTTGTTTATTCGAAATATAAAGGAATGTGTGGGAGAATATTGAAGAGTGTTATTATCGTAAACTTCTATAATGAAATGTCTGAGTTAAAGCTCAAAATAAATGTAAACCTACCTCACTTGCTGTTTGTTGTCGTTTTTGTGGCTCTAAATGGCGAATTTGAGCGATTTGGTGGGTTTTGCGTCGACTGTTACTATACGTTATAAGAAGGAGGCAAGCTTGTCTCCTTCTTTGCGTCGACTGTTACTATACGTTATAAGAAGGAGGCAAGCTTGTCTCCTTCTTTGCGTCGACTGTTACTATACGTTATATGAAGGAGACAAGCTTGTCTCCTTCATATAACGTATAGTGATGCCTTTGTGACACTGATTTGAATTTGATTTTCATAAGCAAATGTATTGAAATAAACAAAGTGTACGTTATGCCTTTCTGAAATGCAAGGCTTTACTTTTTCTTTCCCTCCCTTTTTTCTTTGATTTTGTCAACTGAAATTGTTGTCATGACTTAGTATAAAATGTTAGAACGAAAAAAATTAGGCAAGAAATTTTATCTTCAGGGAAAGAGAAGCAAATCAAAGAAATGTATGAAAAGCTTGATGAGGTGCTGACGTTTTTGAAAGGCACAGACATGACAGGTTAGTGATTTAAATTGAACGGGAAAAGCTGAGATACTGTGGGGGCACTTACCTAATGACATTGATCTCATTTTTATTTTCAAATTATTTTGCAAATATATTGAAATAAACAAAATGTATCGTTTATCTTAAGTAAATATTGTCAGTGGAGTAACCATTCCTTACATTTTTGTTGTGTCAAAAACAACTCGTTTGTTTCTGAGGAATAGGCAATATCTTACATGGAGATGCCTAAAGCCACTGTTCCCGGCCGAGGGAAAAAGAAAAGGCTTTGAAGTGTAAATGATTCTCCTAGAATTTAAACTAATTTCCTTGAGAGAGATTTTGCACTTACTCTCATTTATGAAAGTGACGAGGTTTGTAACTTGAAAGTGACCTATTCCAATGCTTTTCTTGTGAGTTGTAGATTTTCAATGAAAGGTTTTGGACTCTTGAAAATTAAGAACGATTAAATAGAATTTTGAAAATTGCATTTGTTATTTTAAAAGACAGAAAACTGGAGTGAAATTTCTATATTGAAAGGAAACATGACACCATATTAGTTTTATTTTGCTCATTGTGAAACTTTTGCTTGTCAATTATGATAGCTTACTATCATCTTGCATACTTCAAAGACCATCCTATAAGCTGCACCATTTCCCCTAAGTTTTTTGTGGTTGCTGCCACAAAACAATGGTATTTGTCGTCAAGTACACGTTACAGAGTAGCATCTTCCAAGCACCTAAGTTATTCTTGCTACAGGCCAGGGGAAAAAATGCGGATCTTCAAGGTCAGGCAAAAGGTGGAAATTTTACTCTGTTTCAGGTGAAATTTACACCTTTGAAAGAAATCAGTGAAATTGACTTGTTGGCCATGATAACATCCCAATAACCCTACACCTTAATTTTTTCCTCTTGTACATTATGTTTTTGATTTCCTTTATCCTAGAATAATTGTAATTAGATATAAGATAAAAGGCTAGTTTAAACTATTTCTTTCCCTTTTTCGTTTGTTTCATTGTTTCAACTGGAATTGTTGTTATGACTTAGTATAAAATGTTAGAAGAAAAAATTCAGACAAGAACTTTTGATCGATAGGGATACAGAAGCAGATGAAAGAAATGCGTGAAAAGGTTGATGAATTGAAGTGTGGGAAAGATGAATTTAAGACAGGTTAGTAATTTAAATTGAAGGGGAAAAGCTTAGATACTGATGGGGCCCAGCCTTTTCGACACTCATTTGAATTTCTCTTTCATCAGCAAGTGTATCGAGAGAAACAAAAGATGTCTTCAAATAATAGCCTTTGTGAATATTGTCAGTACAGTGACCATTCCTTGTATTTTTGTTGTGTCAAAAAACAACCGTTTGTCTCTGGAAAAAAGGCCATATCTTACATGCAGATGCCTAAAGCCACTGTTCTTAGATGGAGAAGATGAAAAACCTTTGAAGTGTAAATTATTCTTAAACCAATGAAACTAATTTCCCTAAGAGAGGTTTTGCAGTTGCCCTCATTTTGAAAGTGACAGGGTTTGCTACTTGAGAGTGGCCAATTCCAATGCTGTTCTCGTGAGTTGTAGATTTTCAATGACAGGGTTTCTATTCTTAAAAATCTTTTGGTAAGGTGACATTCCGTTCAGTACTGTCTCGTGGGCAATTATGCTGTAATTATCAGTGTAAGCAGGTTTTGCTGGTCTCTTACGTGGAATAAACATTTTATGATTTTCCCTTCTTTGATATCTAAGGAAATTGTCACCCAAAAATCAACTGAAATAAAAAAAAAATTAAATAATAATGCCATGAACTCCTATTAATTGAGGCGAACACTTCCGAAATGTAAAGCATGTAAAACAAATCTTACTTAATTACGACTCAAATCGCGATCGAAGCACGAAAAAGGTAAAAGGAAACTACGTTAAGAGGTTTCCCTAAACAGGTAATAGCCCAAGCATTCTCAAACGAAAAGGTAGGCGTTCACTCGTAAACGCCGAGCGTGATTTTCGCTATTAATTTAAGATCCTTCGAATTACTAAATAAAACTGAAGAAAGGACGCTAAGGTCGCCTTTTATATGCGCGTGGGATCCTTGAAAATGACGCTTGAGGGTCGAGTTTCAAGAACAATAGAAAGGCAAGTGAACGTGAATAAACCTCTATCTACTTGCTGAGATCTGAGAGCAGTAGATTTTACTGGATGGAAAATGGGCTGAAATTAAGACTGCCTGCATAAGGCTTACGATCATATTTTACATATGAGGCGTGTGGGTGAATGTGCCATTCGAGGACGATAAGCCATATTACATATCGGTGTTTAAAAAACTTTCTCGTATTTGAATATTCGACAGCCGAAACACATAACAGCAATGGAATGAATAAAAACTTCACTTTTCCAAATACAAGAAAAAAAGAAAGACAAACTGCTGCGCGTCGGTAATTGGCTTCTTAAACGGCGATCACTGCACAATAAAATCGTTTTGGAGAAAAAAGTAAATACGAAATGAGGAAAAATTGAAGAGGAAAAATTGAAAAGCAAAAAGAAAAGGAAAAAAATTGTAACTATTACTAATCAATCCCAAAAGCTCTCGCTTTGCAATAAGATACGTATACGTGCGTTAATTGAATCTCCCCCATGGGGGCTTTTTCAGCCACAATGTAGACAAACTAAGTGCTTGAAAATCCCCACTGGGAGGAGGCAGACCCGTGGGCTATTTACAGAGGACAGCCAAGGAGTTGAACAAGGGGCAACCGAGAACAAGTCCAGTGAGTGGCAGGGTGGAGTACTTGAACCCAGGACACCGGATTACAAGTCCAGCACCCTAGCCACTCGGCCACGCCCCCTCCGCCTTAGGAGGCAACAGCTAGTGTCTTTTTTCTGCAATGAGTTATGCATAAAAATTAAGTAACAGTGGCCCTAGCACAGACCGCTTAGGTATTACAGAACGGGCCCTCACAGTTTTTGTTTTGATTATGAATTTTCGACGTCTTTAAACACAATCTGTAAAACCATGCACTTTCAATTTGGCTACCATTTAACTGATTGATAAACAGGGTCAAACCTGATGCGTAAATGAAGAGCCAGTACTTAAGCAGCATTTCTTCTGTCAAGAAATACTTTTTAGTCCTCGTTTATTGTGAAAAGCGGCTTATAACACTGATAGCTCTTTACATAACCTGGTAGCCGAATTATGACTTCTGGTTCTGTACAATGTAGAGGTTTAAGAATCGCAGAGGTCTTTCTTTCCAAGGTCTGAGTATCCCTGAGACCTGAGAAGTCAGTTTTAAGAGAGTTCAGAAGAGTTGTAATGAGTTCAGAAAAAAGGTATCCAATGCAAAATGACGATGTCCAAAACTCGTTTCACAACGGCGGAACGATAAGACCCTCGGTATTAAGATACTCAGGCCTAATTTACGAATTCAGACGGCGTAAATGAGGGGTTTGTAACAAACGATAACTGTAGAAAACCTAAACCTAATCACCCCCACGATTTCAATCCCTTGATACTGAAATTTTGCTATTTGCCGGATTTTGCTCTCCAGTTATTGTCATGTTTTGCTCGATTTTCATGCTAATTATTTCTTTAAAAAAGTGGTGGACTGTTGAGTTTTTTTTCACTGTCTGTTCGAGGTCGCAGAGGATTTTGCTCTATTTTAATTATTCCTTGCTCTGACGCCCTTATTTTTGAACTTCAAGACTGTTACCCACCACCCATAGAAAACGCAGCCGAAGCTCTTGGTGAAGAAACTCGCCAAGTTGGTACGACTGGAAATCGTAAGTTGTCTCTTTCATTTTCCTCTTTATTAGCAGTGGTTTGGTTTTCTATGTAACTACGCTTATTTTCGCTAAAACCAGGTGTTCTAGTTATGCTCATGTCATCAACTTTCGGTTCAGTATAAAATAATTCCCAAGGTTTTCCCAAAATTGCATAAGTTTAGGTTTTTTCAAATTCTGGCGGACAATATCGTATAGAACATTTCAGCACTCAAGAAAGGTTTTTTTTTTTTTAAGAATTTTGAAAATTGTTTCACTTTTATGTGCCAAAAGCAATTACTTCTTACTCTTAACTTTGCGGCAATTGCTCAGGTATTGTATGCAGATCTCTACATGTCAAAGTAGAACCAATTATAGTGGAAACAGTTTGCTTATTGTAACCAAAATAGGCCTCCTGAATTTGAACAGTTATTCGTTGCAATACACGGAGAAGCTTCGACGCCTGGTCCACATCCAACATTTCTTCATTACCGTGTCGACAATTCTGATACTGCACAAGGGAAACAATACAGTCATTCATTATAGTCGATTCTTTTAATATCGTCATTGGCTGCTTTTGACGCTTCTAGCGTTACTGAAAAGGAAGAGCAAATTGTTCTAAAATTACTATAGCCTAATCAAATCCACTTACGAGGAATATGACTTAGGAAAAACAGCTGATATTCGTACAGATGGGCTGCAACCTTAAAACACATTAAATAGCAGGTAAATCTAGGTCCCTAATTACGACTGCTAGAAGATAGAGAGGGGCATAGAGACAGAAAAGCTAGTGCACGTTACCAAGTTTGTGTATTTACTTTATTGATTGACAAAGTTGAATGAAAGTCATTAGTGGAATGAATAAGTTTTTGTATTCAGTTGACTTATTTACATATAGTTTGGTTAGTAAGTCATATAATATGCAGCCCAGTCAGCTAATGTCAAGTTTTCTAGTTTGGTAGTACGTTTGGCATATCTATCCATTAATCCATTGGGATATTTTTCCTAGCAATCATGTTCCATTTCCGTGATATCAATCAAACATTCCAAAGGTTTAACTCTGTCTTCAGGAGTTGAGATATTGACAAATGCAACCTGATGAGATGATTTCCTCATTGGTAATTGCAGTACAATGTAAACAGCTTCTTGTGCACTGATCTCTACATTGATTTGGTTAGCACTATCATTTAATTTTCTGGCTTCATTACAAGCGGCTCAAAAAATCTCACTTTTGCCTTTTTGAGCTTTTGAGATAAAAGAGACAACATACATAGCACAAGCTTAAACATCGAGGAGAAATTGAATATCCCTGTTGGTTCTCTTTGCACTATGATAATTGACCCTTATTTAATTCATTTGGTTTTCTCTCTCGAAATATGGTAGGTGAGTTCCTTTTTTTCTCTTGTATCCATGTGGAATTCACGAGAATATTGGGAATGACCCCAACCTAAAGAAGCTCCACATTTTGAAACAAATTTTCCTTGTCATAACCACAGAGATCAGTATGAAGAATATCAATATTAATATTGGGGTGTGAAGGGTTACTCAACCAGAAGCTGATTGCATTCTGTGATGTGCTTGCTTGAATCTTGGGATTATCGCACCCTGTACCCAGCTGTGGCATATTTGTAAGATACCCTTTTCAGGAATTCTTAGTATTGCTATCAAGAAACCTCTCAGGAAGTTCACTTAGATATCTGATAGCAAGAGCTCTAATTTTGAAATAAAATTTAGGACCAGCAATTAATTGGTGTGAAAGAGCGCGAAAGCAAATAGTCACCATCACCAGCAAAATGTAGGGTACTCAATCCATGTTTGTGTGGTCGTGACACTTTTTAATAACTCACTGTTTTGCTGGGAGAATTAAACGCATTGAATAGAGATCGATATTTTCTACAGAACCAGGGTCCATTTTAAAGTCGCCAGACATCAAAAACTGTATATCAGCGACACAGTATTGACCAGTATTGCTTGCTTTTGATGTTTTAACAATAGCTTTTGCATGAACGGAGTACATAAAAAATGAGCAGTGTAAAAACAATGCAACCTCCTATTTTGCACATGAAAGTCATGCAGTGTACCACAACTTACCAAATACATTCTTTGCTATTCGCTACGAGAAAATACGCATTTATTTGCCTTAAAAGGCGAACAGTTGCGTGAAGTTACATTCATTAGCGACAGAAAACGATCATTTGTGTGTAAATTAGATTCAATAACGAATTTCGCATTTTAACCAGCATTCAATAACAATTTTGGGCATTTTAAGCGTTGTTCATCAAACAAAAATATACTTTCATTTGCGCTAACAGTCGAGTCATTTACACCATCTTGAAACGATATATTGCACAAAGCATTCATCAACATTTTTATCACGCTGTTCGCAATTCAACAGCATTCTTGGACGGCATTAGTATGAATAAAACAATTATTAAGGCACTTGTACAAACAATTCAGTGTTTTTGATAATCAATAAGCAAGAAGCGATTTTCAGTTGAACACCTAATTTGCCTGAATGTACACTGGCAGTAAATTTCGTACAGTTCACTCGCTTCGTGAAGGTTTTCTGACCGCAGGCAAAATGCCACGAAGAAACCAAATACCGCTCGAACACAGAGAGAGAATCGCGAGAGGATTTGAGGACGAGGAGGAAGATTATCTTGTGGTCACGGACTCGCTCGGAGTGAACCGATCAACGGCACGAGGCATTGTGGCGCGCTACATAAGAGAGAACAGGATCCAGGAAAGACCACGAGGGAGTAGAAACAACGTGCGTGTGGATGATGGGATGAGAGATTGCCTAGAGGAAATCACCAACGAAAACTGTTTTCTTACACTTGCTCGTTTAACAGTGAACTGAGGAGACGACTACCACTCGAATCCTAGATGCATGACCGCACCGTGGCAAGGAGATGGAACATGGCAACGAGAAAAACACGAATAAATTAGTGGAATGAAAAGCGTTCGTTGATCCCTGTGGGATTTAGACTGCCGGTTTGAAAGATGAGCTTTTGTTCAAGAGTTTTACGGCTTTCCGTGCTACCTAAGTGTAAGGAAAGACCGCAGATTGCCATATGTTGTTTAGAATGATTAGGTAAATTAAAATGTCTAGCGACTGGTTTCGATGTGTCCTTGTCATTCCTTTCCACGTCTCGAAGGTGTTCTCGGAATCGGTCACCTAGTCTTCTGCCTGTTTCGCCGATGTATATCTTTTTGCAATAAGTGCAAGTTATGCAATAGATTACATTGGCGGAGGTGCACGTGAAGTGATCGGTGATCTTAATGGATCGTTTAGGTCCCGATATTTTATCAGTGTTGTGAATGAAAGGACACGTTTTGCATCGTGCACGAGCGCATTTAAAAGTGCCTGGTTGCTCATTAGTCTGAAAAGAACTTCTGACCAAAAAATTGCCTAAGTTTTTGTCGCGTTTGAATGAAATGAGCGGAGGCTGCGAAAAGATAGTGCNAAGGATAAAGAATTGTCAGAAATTTCCCAAGTATATTTCAGAGCCGGGTGAAAAGAATTGACTGCAGTTATGAATTGAGTGAGCTCCTCTCTGGTAGAGGAGGTAGCGCCGATACAGTCGTCGATGTAGCGACCGTAGAGTTCAGGTTTGGACCCGTTGTATTGGCTGAAAAATTGATGTTCGACAAAACCTACAAAAAGATTGGCATAGCTAGGTCCCATTTTGGTGCCCATGGCTACACCATTGGTTTGTTTGAAGAAGTTGTTTCCGAATGAAAAACAATTGAGTGTGAGCACTAGTTCGGCTAAGCGTAGTAGTGTTTCAGATTTAGGTTCCTTAACAGTACGTTGATCAAAAAAATGTTTAAGGGCCAGAAGGCCTTCGCCATTAGGAATGACAGTGTAAAGAGACGTAATATCCATGGTGAAAAGAAGTTTGTTTTGGCCAAGGAAATTAAAGTCTTGAGAAATTTGAAGAGCGTGTTGGCTGTCATTAATATATGATAGTAAAATATATGACGACAAAGTTTGATCGCAACGAGGTGGTGATCTTTGTGTGTGATGGAGCACCTGCCCACCGAAACCCGGTTATTACCTTCCCAAACACAGAGCATAAAACGCTTTCCCTCTACAGTCCTTTCCTCAACACCGTGCACCAGGCAATAAGCTGTCTGAAAGCGACGATCAAGGCCAACATCTCGCGCCCAGAAATTCAAAGACGTAGGGCCAGAGGAATCCCACTGGGGAAGTTTCGAACAAAACAACTGCTTGAAACTCTGCACAGAAACATCGACACTGTGACCGCAGCTAAAAGTGCGCAAGTGAGCCGGTATCACAGCGGATTTGGACCCCCCGCGGATATGGACCCCTCTTCGCAGATTTGGACCCCCCTACCAAATTTTTCTCTTTAGCATTGTTTATATCATTTAAGGTAACTAAATCTAGGCTGACCATTTCTCTGTCCAGTGAAAAAGAGCGCACAATTTTTATGAACGAGTTTTTGGGCTGACATAAATTTCTTTTCTGATCATTCGAAAACTAGATCGGATACTCGGTATCTCGGAGATAGTGGAAAACTTCGTTGTACGCTTTCGTTTCGGCCATCGAAAACATATGTGTTCTGAAGGTCAAACACTCTAATTTGTGTTCTGAAGCCATTACCAATATTTTTAAACCTCAAGATTCATGCTACAGTTTTATAAATTCAGATATTCTCATACCCTGGTTTAACACAGTTTCATTTGGTAAGCATTCCCTTCGATATTTAGGTCCTATTCTGTGGAGTAAGCTAGACAAAAGTGATAAAACATGTAAATCATTAAGTGATTTTAAAAACCGAATGCTTAATAGGGATTTGACATCTATTGTTGATGATGAATGCAGAGCATGTTATCTGTGTAACAGTTGATGTCTCATATGATACACGATCCTCGCAGTAGATAGCGCTATTTAAGCAATAGCGAAAATCAGACCTGAAAAAAATTAGGCCTGTACGGGATTCGAACCACTGACCTCTGCGATACAAGTGCAAAGGTCAAACATAACA